AAATGCTCATACACTTGCACGTGATGGTGAAACACTTGGAGTGTTAGCACATTTGCAAAGGTGGTGAAAAAGGCGAAGAAAAGGAGATGAAACTTGGCTCGGGGTGATGCCCTGGGGCACCGCCACACCCTGTCCGATGCATGGCCACCCCTGTGTCGGCGACCAACTGGAAGAGGCCGAGAAGGAGTTTAGGGGGGCACCGCTATGCCCTGTCCAGTGGCACCGCCACCCCTAGGGCGGTGCCCACCTAGACTCGGTTGAGAAACACAGCGTGGGCGTGGTCACCGTAGTGTCCGGTGTTCGCCGCCACGGTGAGGGCGGTGCACCGCCTGGTCACCGCAATTGGTGGGCGCAGTGCCACCGCCTCTTTTATCCAGAGAGCAGGGGAACTGGAGTCAGGCACCGCTGTGGGCACCGCCACCCCTAGGGCGGTGCACCGCCGTTATTTTCTAAAGACTGGTGTTTTCGGTGGTGTGGCCGAAGTGGCACCGTCGTGCCATGCCCGGTGCCACCGCCACCCTGTCCGGTGCCCCAACGGCTAGTGAGCCGTTGGATGACCGTTGGAGGGGCACCGCCACCCCTGTCTGGTGCCACCACTGCCGTGTCCGGTGGCCTCGCAGAAAGTGGCGCTAAGGGGTAACGGCTCTATTTGCTTGTGGGCTTATAAATAGAGGTGGTGGCCGGCCTTGGCCACTCTCTTAGCACTTCCCACGCCTGTGTACACCCCTTGAGAGCTGAGCACACCACTCCACTCACTTGCACATTTGATTTCATCATCTTGAGTGAGATTGGAGAGCCTCTAGTGCATTGCTTAGTGGTCTAGCATCCTGTGACACTAGTTGGGCGATTTGGGCTGGTGGAGAACTTGTTACTCTTTGTGTTTGCTGACACCTAGACGGTCCGATGATTGGTGGATCGTCGAGCGGAGGAAGGTGATTGTCTCCGGCTCTGATCATTGTAATTGTGAGGGGTTCTTGTGCCTTTTCCGGCGAAGTGCCAAAGGCAACTCTAGTGGATTGCGCGTGGCTTGTGGATCCTCATCTTGTGTTGGTTGTGCGACACCCGGTTGTGGATTAGGCGTGTGATGCCTATTAGCGCGTGAACCTCCAAGTGAGTGAATCGTCACAACGGGAACTAGCTTGCCGGTAAGCAAGTGAACCTCGGAGAAAAAATCATTGTGTCATCATTTGTCTTCTTGTATTATTTGGTATTCATTGATTGATCACTTACCACGGCGGTATATCTCATCTACCACTCTATTGCATTATACTGTGTATTTACCTTGTGTAGAGAATGTGGTAGTTGTAGCTAGTTGTGCGGCTTAGCTTTATAGTTTTAATTAGTTCCTAGCTAGCTCAACTAGTGTAGAGAGTAGTGACATAGCCCTTAAGTGCTTAGTGATTATAATTGACTAGAATTGTTGGTAGGTGATTTGCGTTTTTAGTAAGCTAGTGCAACACTTGTTTCGCCTTATAATTATCTAACATCTTGGCTTAGTATTGTCGTAGATTTTTTATAGGCTATTTATTTTCTCTAGTCATTTGAATCTTTCAACTATCCAATATTTTTTTTTTAAATTTTAGGAAAATGCGAGACTTGAACCTAGTAGGTATATAGGTTCCGAAACTCAACCACCTACACTACATTCTGTTTGAGCTCATGCAGTAATTAACTTTTGTATACAAAATGACACAAGCTCAGTCTCTAGTATGAAGGATTAAAAGAGGTAGAAGACAGTGGCAGAGGCACTTCCCAATGGGAACTGGATCCGCCAAATCACCGGCGGATTTTCCGTTCCGGCAATTGCGGAGTACCTGAATGTCTGGAGGGCAGTCCGGGACGTGCACCTCAGTGATGACGCAGATCGACTGGTGTGGAAGTGGACTCCCGACGGCGCGTTCACGGTCAAATCAGCTTACAGGGCGCTGCACATGCCTTCCTACCCGCTGCCCGAACTCAACCTGGGCCTGGTTTAGATTCCAAGTTTTTTATCCTCTCTCCACCACATTAAATCTTTGACATATATATAGAGTATTAAATGTAGATAAAAAAAATAATTAATTACACAGTTTGATTGTAAATTACGAGACAAATCTTTTGAGCCTAGTTAGACCATGATTAGACAATAATTATCAAATACAAACAAAAATACTACAGTATCGAATACTGATTTCTAACCACAAACTAAACAAGACCCTGTTACGGGACACCTGCGCTCCCCTCAAAATCAAGGCCTTGTTTAAATACCCTCAAAATTCCAAGTTTTTTCACTCTCTCTCCATCACATCAATTTTTAGCTATTTGCATGGAGTATTAAATGTAGATAAAAAAAATAACTAATTGCACAGTTTAATTGGAAATCACGAGATGAATCTTTTAAGCTTAGTTGATCCACGATTGAATAATATTTACCAAATAAGACGAAAGTGCTACTATTCATCGGGTTGAAATTTTTTTCAATCTAAACAAGGCCCAAGCTGTTCCTATGCCTGGCGATCCGAAAGCGACACTGGACGGCTGATCGAAGACAACGGCACGGATATCAAGAACCGGAAACCATCGGCCATATTGTCGTGTCGTGTTCCTTTGCCAAGCAAGTTTGGTGGAACATCAGCAACGTCCTCTCCTCGGCTCAGGGGATGGCGACCCACGACACAATGACTCCATTCGCTGATCTAAAACTCACAGTGACTCAATTCGCTGGTCTGAAATTTGGCTGAAATTGATTGGTTTTGTGAGAGAAAAATACTGTAACGACTAGTTGATAAATAGTGTTTGCTGAGGGGGATCAGCCGGCTGGTCTGGATGGACCAGACCAGCGAACACGTCCAATACTATAATTCTGGAAAGCGTGGTGGTCGTAGTGGAACGGACCCTGCAGTCGCGGCGCGGATTTTCTTAATGAATGAAAGGCTAAGGGCGCGTTTGGTGGAGCTCGCGCCGGCTCCGGCTCTGCACTGTGCGGGTACTGTGACGGAGCCGGCGGAGCACCATAAACGTAGCTCCGGCAGCTCCTTCTCAATCCACGTTCATTTGTTCGGGTGCTGGAACTGTTTTTTCTGCCGCTACAGTGATCTACAGGGTTCTACTGTTGCTGCCTGGAGGAGCCGGAGCACCGGGGAGCCGAGCCAAACACGGCCTAACTTTGCATGTCAAAGTATACACTCGACCATTTTCTCCAAAACAACGTCTAGATGAAGTGTCTAATTTCAGAAAAATTTCGATGGCTATAGGCCCACCGCTGCTCCTCTAACATGCGGTACAAAATACAAAAACCACGTGTCAAAGGTGTCCATCTTGAGAGACGGGTGCAAATTAGCAAGCAGTACATTCATAGCGCATAGGAATAGTCTCGTTGCTAGTTCCCTAGCGGCAGCATATACGTCGCTAGCTATCGATGTTAGATATATATACTCTTATGTTCTAGCTATGAAGCTAGCTATATACTATTAGAGCAGCCACAATGGGGCGATAGTGTCTCTCTACAACAAGCTACATAGGAGAGGGAAACGAGAAGAGAAAGAAAGGATGTCGTCGCTTAACCCAGCGAGAGCCGTCAGTGCAACTATTGATGCTGCACGCGGGGCCCTTGTGGACCATCCGCTCCGATCCCTTTCTCGCATCAAATCTCCATAGCCTTGGATGAAGAAGTGGTTGTGCTTGGCCACCAGTGTGGTGGCACAAAACGCTGGCGGAAGAAGGGGTGACACTCGGCCGCGGGATCGAAGTGCGACTGTAGGACCTCATGCTAAGCGAGGCCGAGCGGCGCGCAGCTGGCCAATCGGCGCAGTGGAGTGCGGGTGGCGACGAGGTGAAGGTACGAGAGCGGCGATGGCCATGGGCCAGTGTTTGAAGGATTATGCAGGGTACAAGACGGGAGACGAGAGGATTCGGAAATTGAAGTATTAAAGAGATACTGACATGTGAGCCTCACATATTAATTTAGGAAGTTGTGTTGTCCATAGATTGTTGTACATGCAATCTATAATATGCTCTATGTCCTGCGTGGATAGTGTTATAGAGAGCATATAATCCTTATTAAAGTGGATGCCCTTATGTTGCTATCAGAGTATCGGGTCTATATGTATACATTTGTTTAACAAAAGAATACGAGAAGAATAATGCTTTTTAGTAGTAGAAGTTAAGAAGATATCGCTAAGATTCAGCTATTACTCCTCTTTAGCATAAACATCTATTGTGGTTCTTAATATTGAAAAAAGAACCATGTTCATTATAACGTGAAATTCAAATACACTTTGGTTATAGTATTTTCTGGGCCCATTTTGTATTTCGAGGGCCCAAAATTCTCAAATACTCGTAAGACATGCATACTGCTAGTTTGGACTCGGCGACAACACTACAGCACTTGATGCCAACAGACGACGTATATCTTTAATATCTTTCTATTAGGGTAACCCAATATCATTTTTTTAATATTAGAGGAGTTGCTGCAATAGTGCCTCAATATATAACTCCTCCAATACCCATATGGAAGATGGGTCCTACGGGAGTGTAAGAGAAAAGGTTATTGAAAAGTGGTAATTGGGGTGATCCCAATGGTATTAGAAAAGATACAACTCCTCCTTTAAGTAAGATTAGAGAAATATTTATGACCATAAAGAAAGAGAAGGAACTGCTGAAACAAGAAAAAGAGCATAGTCATCCCTAACATGATAGTTCTATAATGATAGAAGAAGGTATCGCGGAACCGCTGGAGATGCTCTTACAAAGGCATCTTGCAGACTCACACAACATTCAAATTTCAAAGTCGGGTTTATTCTGCTAATATATAGGAGTACTCCGCAGAGTATCACGCAAAATAGCAACAGCGAACGACACAAGTAACCGTTCAACGAGCTAATTAAGAACGGTTACACGAGTTCACGTATGTTCCAGGCACAAGCGAAACAATGGTCTCGCGCGAGCTCCACACCAGCTTGATCCGCACAACGACGAGACCGATTGACGCTAGTGCCGAGTAGTGGATCGTCTTGGACGGCTCAGACGTCGGACCAGGTGACGGGCACCACGCCGACGTTGGTGTCGAGCCCGAGCGCCTTCCACACGGCGGGCGACGTGTCGACAATGTTGCGCCTGCACCCGTGCGTGGAGTCGCACTCGTCCACCACCTTGGCCTCCACGGTGCGGCCAGTGCGCGTGCTCGTGATGCGGATCAGCTTGTGGCACCGCCGCCCGCCCGCGTACCACCCCGTGGACAGCGCCACCACCATGTCGTGGTCGCTGTGGTACTGGCCGTCGCACGCCGCGGGACCGCCGCCGCTCTCGCCCTTCTGGAACCCGTTCACAGTCATCACCGCCGGGGTGCCGCGCTTCGACACGGCCGGCGACGAGCAGCTGGGGTGTCCACCCTTGTGGTGCATGCCTGCAGGGACAGACTCGGAGTTGTCGTCGGCGCCAGAGCCGCACGGCGGGTCCGGCTTGGCGTGGTGCCGGGCCGCCGCGCTGCACCACACGAGCAGATGGAATGAGACGAGCACGGCGAGGACCGGAACAAGCTGCTTTGTGCTCGCCATTGCTTTATGGGTGGCTCGCGGGCGCTTTGTGCTGCCTAGTACCAGCTTAGCTACCAAGGGCTTGCTTAAATAGGCGCGTCCAGCTCGTTCTACAGGGGAAGCAAATGCACAGTTAAACGTGTCCACATCGGCTCTTGTTTGAGGAACTAAGATACTAATAAATTCCATTCTGGAGATATGCACGATACTCTTTCGGTACGCTCAATACGGTACCAATGTCTCTTTTGGAGCACAAATTACGTTGTACTAAAATGTAACAGCGATGGTTTTGGATTTTATGTTGTCGCCAATAAGAAACTCGATGTATTACCCTCTAGAATGTTCGGTAATGTTTTCTCAATGCCGGGGGGGCAGACGTGTAGTAGCAGGCTCGGCTGGGAGAAGGAAAGAACCTGGGTAGCGTTTGGTTTGAGTTGAGGGTGGAACACGGATGTCCTGTTGTTTGGTTTGAAGACAAGTAGGTTGATGTCATCCTGTCGATACAGAATTTTCGTCTCCGTGCCGAGGACACACGCAGCAAGCCGGAAGGGTCTGCTCAATGGAACAAATCCGCCTAGCTTCAGCACAAGGGTGGTCGATCCTGCGCAATCCTCCGGAGACGTTGAAAGGTCCTAATGGCTAGAGGGGGATGAATAGCCTAATAAAATTTCTACAACAACACTTAATAAAAGGATTAGACAATTATAAGGCGAAGCGAGTTTTGCGCTAGCCTACCAAAATGCAAGCCACCTACCATAATTCTAGTTTAGATAAAGTATATTCACACAATAGCTATATCACTACACTAAGTTAGTGTGCTCTCAAAAACTAACTAAAGAGCCACACTAACCAAACTAACAAGCTCTCACAACTAGTTACATTAAAGAGCTTGACAACTAGTTTGCGGTAATGTAAAGAGTAGGCAAGAAGGTTATACCACCGTGTAGATGTATGAACCAATCAATCATAAGTGTGGATAACAATGAAGACCAATCACCTCGGAATCAATATGATGAATACAATGCTTTTTACCGAGGTTTACTTGCTTGCCGACAAGCTAGTCCTCGTTGTGGCGATTCACTCACTTGGAGGTTCACGCGCTAATTGGCTTCACACGCCAAACCCTCAATAGGGTGCCGCACAACCAACACAAGATAAGGATCACACAAGCCACGAGCAATCCACTAGAGTACCTTTTGGCTCTCCGCCGGGGAAAGGTCAAGAACCCATCACAATCACCACGATCGGAGCCAGAGACAATCACCACCCTCCGCTCGACGATCCTCGCTGCTCCAAGCCGTCTAGGTGGCGGCAACCACCAAGAGTAACAAGCGAAATCCACAGCGAAACACGAATATCAAGTGCCTCTAGATGCAAAAACTCAAGCAATGCACTTGGATCACTCCCAAACTCACTATGATGATGAATCAATGATTGAGATGAGTGGGAGGGCTTTGGCTAAGCTCACAAGGTTGCTATGTCAATGAAAATGGCCAAGAGAGTGAGCTTAAGCCGGCCATGGGGCTTAAATAGAAGCCCCCACGAAATAGAGTCGTTCTACCCCTTCACTGGATAAAACGCGGGGTGACCGGACGCTGACCCTCAACGTCCGGTCACGTGATACACGCCACGTGTCCCCTGCTTCAAATACTGTTCGTCAGATTTCAACGGTCGTCTGCTGACCGGACGTGTCAATTAGAAAGTGACCAGACGCTGGACCTTAGCGTCCGGTCGTTTCCAGTAAGGTTCCAAACGCGATTTTCCCGACCGGACGCGTCCGGTCATGCTTGACCGGACACAGCCAGCGTCCGATCACACAACGTCTCCTCAGTACGCCCTACGTCAGCGTACGTCAGCACTGACCGGACGCACCCTGCCAGTGTCCGGTCGCTGAGCAACCCAGCGTCCGGTCATGAGACCGAAACGCACGCCCTCTGCTGCCACTGACCGGACGCGCCGGTCCAACCGAGATCAGCGTCCGTTCACTTACAGTGACTTCCGTCTTTTCTGTCTAGGACGCCGATGACACCGTTGGACTGTCCGCACTCTACGGGCGGACACTCCACCGGTGGAGTTTCTTACCCTTGCATCTAAACTTCACCACCCTTGATCAAATGTGCCAACCACCAAGTGTATCACCTTGTGCACATGTGTTGGCGTATTTTCACAAACATTTTCAAGGATGTTAGCACTCCACTAGATCCTAAATGCATATGCAATGAGTTAGAGCATCTAGTGACACTTTGATAACCGTATTTCAATACGAGTTTCACCCCTCTTAATAGTACGGCTATCGATCCTAAATGTGATCACACTCACTAAGTGTCTTGATCACCAAAACAAAATGGCTCCTACAATATATACCTTTGCCTTGAGCCTTTTGTTTTTCTCTTTCTTCTTCTCAAGTCCGAGCACTTGATAAACTAGGTTAGCACTTAGGGTTTCATCAATTCACCAAAACCAAACTAGAGCTTTCAGATGTGCCAGTCAATTTGACCATGCAATTAACAAGGAGAGAAAACTTATCAGTAATTAAGAGCGGAATGTACCGGTGTTGCCAGATAGTCCCGAATGTGCGGCTCTGAGAGCCGGTATGAGAGGAAATCGACTAAATAGTCGATTCCAGCATATTCATGAGAATAAATCGGTTAAAGCTCATGGGGTTGTGTAAGAAGAATCAGTTATCATTCAGGATAAACATAATTCGAGCAAGAATTAATCAAAGGCAATAAGATATCCATGATGATCGGTTTAAACTGAGCCAATAATTATAAGTAACCGAACCCCTTTTATATAAAGAAAAATAATTCAACACCACTTAACCATTTAATAAAGATAAATCTAATGAACATGTTAGATCTTATCTATCGCCATGACCAGTGGGGCATGAGGTAGAATCATGCAGGCCGTAGAAACAACAATAGACTCGACGACCCTAACTCATTACTAATATCAGTGGGGCATGAGGCAGAATCATGCAGGCCGTAATACAATAATAAGATCATGGGGCTAACATATCTTTCAACTTATCTCTACTTCAATGGTCTCGTAATGTAAACTGTTCGTGAAAGCGCTCGATATCGGCTAAACAACCGATTGAGGCATAACGCACAGTTAAAGTCATGCCTTCTCAGGAACGGATCTATCAACTAACGATCCTCACTTCATGGTGCTAACAGTGGGGTGAGAGGCAGAATCCCATAGGCTGTGATAACGGGCCATGTAACGGTTCTCGCTAACCAAAAGATCTGCTCAAGATCGAACATACCTTAACCGCACGCTATGCACGATTAAGATTGATATAAAACAGCCGATAAAAACATAACTCATCGTTTAAGGTGTAGATTAGATCAGTTTTAGATTGGCCAACGATGGGTTAAATAAGATATAAGGCCGATCCAGATCAATCTCAATCGGCCAGAGTGATATTGCTGTAATTAGAAAAAACAATTAAAGCAATAAGCAATATCGGTAACTTAATGAATCTATCAGAGACTGCCATTCAAAGGTAGAGCTGATAATTTGACCTTGGTCTAGTTCAAGCAGTGGGGTGTGAGGCAGAATCACACAGGCCATACTTGAACTAGGCAAGAGTCGATAACTAGGCTATACCAGAGTTGCAGTGGGGGTCGACCGGATCGATGCAGCCATACGAACAGAGGTATGAACCATGACGGTACTTACAGACGAGCAGTGAAGGTCGACCGGATCGATGCAGCCATACTCGCTGAAGAACTCACCGAGATCTACTCTATTCCTACTCCTAAGGGGTGTCCGGAGCCAAAAAAGTAAATTGACTTGTATTTGATTGATTGTGTATTTTACAATAGCCGGGATTTGATATTTATACCCAGACTCTAGACATGAATCCTACTCGAGCACGACTTGTTACAATCTTTGGCATAAAAATGAAAACATTCCTAATTTAAGATAACTTGGACTCTAATTTTTCCCTTTTTGTAGAGTCCAGCATGTCTCGTCCTAGCACCGATCATAGCTTCTGTCGTTATCCGCTGGCGCTATCTGAAGAAAGCTGATTTTAGTGCTGCATCCGAATCAGCTATTTTCGATCTACACGCAATTGATCCCTTGCTGACATGGTTTTGGAAGATTTCAAGCCTCTGAAATCCTTCTCCCAAATTCTGGTGTAAACACATGTCCCCCAATTTTAGGATAAAAGCGATTTTATTCCAAAATTATCCTGTCTGCACCCCTGATTGGTCCACAGTCACGGGTAGAGAACCTTGATCTGGGGTCCACCATTTGTTGCTGCTTGCGTCCATTCACGAGCCTGTGCCCAAAACTTTTACAAGAGTACCACTGTTTCACAGGTATTTGGATTCATCTTCCTAGGCCGGCTATAAAATGCTTATCCGACCCTGGCGAGAGCACTCACTACTTCAGCCATGTTTATCTTCCATCCATCTTTCCGAGTGCTCCCAACCCCGCTGGACCCTCCATGGTCTATCATTTTGTTATGATGATCTCAAGCGGTTAGAAGAATTCTTGTGTATGGGGTGATTGTGTCACTTATTCTAGCGCTTTGTTGAGCAAGAAGACCAGCCATCGCGGTTAGAAGAATTCTTGTGATATCACCTGAGTCTTCTCTCCATGCTCACAAAGCTGTTTTAGTGTTTTGTGAAGGCTACAACATGTGGACACCTTTCCCTTGTTTGTTTCATCAAATGTCTACCGGGAAAGCCACAAGCTTCTTTCCAGCGGTCTCCCAGTCACCGAGGAATTAGCTGGGTACCTGTTAGGCAGGCGGCTTTTCCCTTTCTCTTGCATAATCTCATCAATGGGCCGATGTGACTTGGTTTACGATGACCCTCGGCCTTATGAGGATCCGGACTCCCTTCAATCCAAAGAAGCCTTGGTGGGTAGATCTCTAATCAATGTAGATTCTTTGTATCCGTCTCATAATGCTCCGTAATTTTGGAAAACGATAAGTTCGAATTTGTTATTCTTCCGTTATCCGTCCCCTGAATTCCTGGAGTGCTGATCCGTTTCCGTTTCTGATT